TCGCTGACCACGTTACAGCGTCTGAACTCGGGCTGTAAAATAAACGGATGCTGCGTTTGGGGAGATGAAACTAAAAGCACTTTTCCGGGGTGGAGACGATGCCGTTGGACCTAACAGCTCGGCTGGTGCTGACCTTGAGAGGTGCGGAAGGGGGTAAAGAGCAAAGCCTTTGTTTGGAGAATGAGGGCTTCCTGGGCTGGTATTGCTGTGGCTCGTGTCACTGCTGGAGGGACGGGAGGCATCAGTGCCGGACAGGCCCCCCCATTGCTGTTTCACCTGCCTCCGGGCCGGCCAGTGCGCCAGGCAGCCGGGAAGAGCGGTGGCCGTCGTCATCCCCGGGGAAGGGAAGGGACGGCGTTCTCGGATCACATGTCGCCACAGGGAAATCTGAAAAACCGCATTCCCAAATATGTGAGCTGCCTATAATTTGTAAGCACAAATCCCTACATTTCTGAATAGAACATGTGCTTTAATTAAGACGCTGGTAAGTAGAACCTGATTATTAAAGACTTTTTTACAGAACAGTACTCGGGCCTAAGATTCTCACTTTACTCCCGCCTGACACGGGCGCTGTCCTTTGGGGATGACAGGTCCCGAGCTCCGGCCGCGGGCCGTGAACACGCTCAGCCCTGTGTTCACACCTCGGGGCGGCAGGAGGTGCCACGAGCTGTGCTTGTCCCGAGGAGAGAGCAGGGCTTGGAGACCCGGCCACAGGCCTTGCACACGGTCCCCGGGGGGCTCAGTGGCAGGCAGACACTCCCGGGAGGTCCAGGCACACACACGCGTGCGCCCCCACCGTGCCCGCTCTCCACCACACCGTCCTGTGTCACTTCCAGATGCCCGTGTGCGCGCATGTACACGCAGGTCCTCGGCTCACTCTGTGCCTTGTTTGGAGGCATTGCAAGTGACCGGATACACGGCGATCTTCCGAAAGCCAGCAGGTGTTCTAGAAGGCTCTCCTTCTAGAAGTCTTTGGAAACGAGACAAAGCGTCTCAGAGGCCATCCGACTTGCTCAAGGCCACACCGCCCGGCAGAGGCAGAATCAGACGCGGGAGCAGGGCTTGTGCTTGGGTTTCTGGCCCGGGCGTACCCGTGATCGCAGGGGACGCGCACCGCACGCAGGGCTCCTGCCGCAAGGGAGGGGGGCGCGGACGCTGGAGAAAACAGTGGAGACCGCAGAACGAGAGTCATTCTGACAGCCCATCCGGGGACCATGTCCCTTACCTGCGGGTCTGAGAACAGCAGCCCCGTGACCTCATGCTGCACCACCGCTGCGTTCCCGGGGATGTTCCTGGCCAGCACGGGAACTTCCAGATCCATCGCCTGAGGACAGAAGGGGGAGAAGTCAGGTGGGCCGTCGCGATGGAGAGCTTCTCCGGCAGGAAGAGCCGGTTTGTGGGGGAGCGACATCTACGTCCCCTGGACCTCCGGCAGCGCACAGAAGTACAGCTGCCAGACTGAGAAGCCAGTCCAAACACGCCGTTGACAAAGTACGTGCTGAATCGTAATTACTGCGGCAGGTTCCGGAAAGCTATGTACCAGAAAGCTATGTACCGCGAAGCTCTGTGTGACACGGTCGCCACGGTGTCACAGAGAAACCCGCTCTCTCCAAATGCTTACCGGACACTTGGACAGCAGCAGCCTGCAGCACACATCCTTAATTACCCTCATCGCTCCCCCGACGGGCAGTCTTCCCACAGCACAAGCAGCGAGACCCAGAGGACTGAGCACGTCCCCCCACCCCCGGCTTGCAGACGGGAGAAAGAAGGGGTGTGACTTATCATCCTGACTATTCCCGAAGCAGGCTTTCCATCCCCCCAAGGAAGGGGGCCAGCGCGTGGCCTGCGCAGCCCAGCAGAGACTGGATGAGACCTCGGGCGGCGTCCGGAAGCACGTGGCGGGCACAGTTGGCCTCACCCGCCAGCAAGGAAGCACCCCGCTGGTTCTCTTTCTAGTTTGGGGGGGCCCACCCAACCTGCAAGGGTATAAGGTTAGGCTAGTCCTTCCGATTCTATTTTGGCCGCTGACGTTGATCCCCTGTGGCTATTATCACCTAGGACTTTAGTGTGGTGGGTGCCTTCCAGCGGCTAAGAGGGACACCCCTTTGCAACATGGTGCCCGGGGGCAGGACTGACTTGCATCAACAGCAGACCAATAATCTGGCTCTTGTGCTACAAAAGTACGTTGTAGGCACCCTGACTCTGCCTGTGGTATCTACTTCCGTGGAATCAAAATTTGCTCGCAAAGGGGTGATATTCGATTCTCAGAAATGTAGGTTTACCCAACCATAGCCGTTTCGTATATTGCATGGGAAGGTCTGTGACACCAAAGCCTTCATAGGGCAGGTACGCCAGCAACACCCACCAAACACCAGAGCTCAGTGTGACACGTAGTAAACGCTCAGTAAATGCTGTGGGGCCAGTGCCCCAGGCGCCCCTGTACTGAGTGAATTCTAAGTCGGTGTTGGTCACCGTGGCCATCTGAACCACCAGCTGTTGTCGGTGGGCTCCCTGGTTTTCATCACCTACGCCTTCCCAGTCTACTTTGAGTCTAAGATCCAGGCCCCAGAGAATGCAAGAGCTGGCAACACCCTTCCTGTCCGCACTCCTCTGACACGTCGGGGAAAGTGGTAGAGCTGGCTTGACTGGTGGACCAGAGCCCCCACCGAACTGCTCCTCCCCAGCCGCCCCGCTGTGTCCCCAACACAGTGATGGGTCCGTCTTTGTCTGTCTCTCTTGGTGGCATTTCAAGTGCACAGAAGGTCTCCAAGTCAGATTTTCCAGTTTTCTTTTGGAGGGCCAGGACTCAGATCCTCAGTGCTCATCCACTCCAGGGCGAAGTAACCTGAAATGGTGACGTCCCAACGCTAGGGTCACAAGTGTTTACGGACCGTTGGTTGGGCGCCTTGAGTTCTGACACCCTGCAGGCATGGTCTGGCGTCCTGGATGATGGCACGTGCTGGGGATCAGGAGGCCTTGGTCTTGAATTAAGATCCCAGTCTTATTATCTTCGTTCCAGGAGAGCACAGTGGGTGTGCCCCTTGGAGTACAGCCCCATCACCTGGAGAGACGGAGCAGAACTGACTGGGCTCCCCCCGACACGGCCACCCCGTGATCAGGCATTTGTGAAAGTACCTCCCACGATTCTATTGTTCAGCCCAAGAACCACCGAGGGAGCAAGGATACCATCAAGGTCCTGGATGTCTCCCTGGGTCTTGATCATATCATTTGGGAATGAGGGACTAAACTCTCCTCTCCACAGTGCACGAACAATTCAGATCTCTCTTTGCACAAGCACCATTATGTGGTTTGTGGCATAAGCTGACTGGCACATCAACTACATCAGTTACGAGGTCGTAACAGAATTATGGTGAGTGATGCCATGAGTCATACGGCTTGTCTCTCTGATCGTCACACAGCACGGGTCGCTAGCTCGTTAAACTCGTGCAACACACTGTGATTTCATTTCTAGACATTTGTCAACCAACTGCCAAAACCTCTGCATGGATGAGACCTTTGAGATCGTCCTGTTTCACCCACTGCCTGGTGTCAGGGCAGAGCTCAGAAAGAGGGTGATCGACCCATCAGGGTGCATGGCAAGCCCCGTATCGTGTTCCTCTGTCCCAGGCACCCCCTAGCATTTGCGTACTTCAACAGTACATTTAGCTCCTAATTTGGGCTAAGCACTGGGATATTTGTGAAGAATCTGTGGCAGATGCAGAGATTGAGAGGAGAGATCTATAGATGTAAGTGTAGTGCTAAAGAGACAAATGCAGATTATAAAACCAGTGATCAGAGAATCACAAGACCGGCCAGTCATGAAGGATGACAGAGTTCATATCCCTGTTTCAGGCAAAAATGATCTTATTATCACCCCTCCTGTTGTGTAGACTCACTTGCATATCAACCCAACCCTACTTCAGGCACCCACCCTACACGTAAGGCTGTTGAGGCCACCGAGAGTTGCCCACTCACTGGATACATGTCTGTTATCAGCCTGCAGATGGCGGGATGCAGGAGGCTTAGGTGATGGGGCCAAGTGATTGAGGGGAGGTAACGAGGTGGTGTTACACAGTAGAGGAGGCTTGCTTGACTCCAAAGGCCATGAAATGAAAAAAAAAAAAAAAAAAAACAGCAACAACAACAAAGGAAGTAGAAGAAAGGCATTAAAGGAAAAAAAAAAGTCAATGGAATAAAGAACTCACCAGCAACCCTTTTCACCAGAAGAAAGGAGAAATCAAAATAAGATACACCAAGGGGGACGTAACCGTTGAACCAGAGAACTGTAAAGTCATAGGAGGCTCTTTATAGAAATCTTTACAAATAAATTTGAAAATCTACCTGAAATGGGTAGTTTCTAAGAAGAACGCATCTTACTGAATTAACCCTGGTAGAAGTAGGGAAGCTAAAACAGATCCATTTCTATAAAAGAAATAGAGAGCTTATCAAGGAAACTGTCGACAACAGTTTCATCTCAGAAGGATCATCTCAGACGGTGTCACAAGGGAATTCTACAAAATCATCAGACTGAACGATTCGAGTGCTCCAGGAACTGTGCCAGACCACAGAGAGGGAAGACACGTTCCAAATTGTTGTTATGAAACAAGTTCAACAATAATACCAAATAATACCAAAGCATAAGACAGATGGCACAGGAAAGAAAGCCACAGGCCAATCTCACGTCTACAACTCTCCATAAAAATCCTAAAGGAAAGAGTAGCAAACAGATTCCAGAAGCACATAAGAAATGACGGAAACCAACCATTTCAGTCACTACACTAAAGATGAATGGACTAAACATCACACTCAAAAGGCAGACATCGTGAGGCCTGATAACAAGAGCAAGACACAACTATATTCACCGCCTACATGAGATACGCTTTGGATTCAAAGACACAAAAGTTTGAAAGTAAAAAGATGAGAAAATATACCATGTAAACAGTAACCATAGGAACTTTCCTGGCTGTATTAACACCAGATGAAATGGACTTTAGGAGACAACGAGGGAAATTTCATAATGATAAAAGGATCGCTACATCAGGACAACACAGAAGTTAGAGATGTGCACACACCAGAACACAGAGCCCCGCAACATGTGAAGCAAAGACTGACAGAATTGAAAGGAGAAGTAGTTAATTTAATAATAAATAATAATAATAATAATGGGACATCTCAATACCCCATCTCAATAACTGATAATAGAAAAACTAGACAGACAACCATGAAGGAGACAGACGACCTGAACAGCACGAACCGACTTAACCTGACATTTTCAGCACGTCCCCAGCAACTACAGAAGACACATTCCTCCCAGGTACACATGGTTCCTTTTCCGGAACGTGACCATATGTTAAATCAAAATAGATAGGATTCCATACACTCAAAATGATCAAAATCATAAAAGGTATGTTCTCTGATCACATTTTTGGGAGCCAGGGTATGATAGCCAGGGTAGGGCTGTGGGAGAAGGAAGGATAAATATGGCCAAAAGCACACTGTATATACTGTATATTAGCTACCTTGACAATAAGTTCTATTTAAAAAAAAAAAAAGGAATCTGATTCCTAAGTCACTTCCCCAAGGTATGAAGTCGCCTCCTTCACAACAAACTGCCTTCAAGAGAGGCGAAGTCCCAGGGCAGGACAAGCATACGAAGCTGGTCCCCACGAGACCCGGACCAGCGACGTCTGGTTCCAGGTGGGCGTGTGCGTCTGCTGTTCGCTCTCCCCTGGTGATCAGGGATGAGGCTGGGGGGGCGCAGGTGGAGCAGCCAGCAGAGCAGACCTGTACCAGGCTTTTGGACAGTGGAAGGTGTCTGATGCTCGGTTCAGTCCACAGTCACCTGATTCCTTTCCCTGTGAGCTCTTCAACCCTCCATTGGGTGGACGGAAACCTCTGATTCCACCTTAAAAAGAAGCTTTGTAGCTGGTGCCTCGTTTCCTGCAGACTTGCCAGAAGATTCCAGAGATGATACCTCCTCTGCACGTGCAGATCAGCCTCCAGAGCATAGTGCGGGTGATGAAGGGAGGGTATGGCCACCTGTATTTATGGGTTTTTACACTTCAGAGGGACACCCTAGGTCAAAAATCTCCATGGTCCAGATTTTCTTTCAGAGAGGTTTGCTTGCATTTTCAGGGCCTTGAATGACTCGTGTCCAGCATGGTGACTGCTGCCTATCAGGTGGGGATGGGGGGGGTGGATCCCAGGATTCACGACGTGTACCCACGCTGCATTCGGATCCCTCATCACCGGGATTAGAATGCTTCTCAACGCAAAGCCTTGAGAAGTCTTCCATCACTAGGGCTTGGCCTGGAAGCCAAGGGATGGAGAGATTATCCTGTTACTCTTGGCTTTAGAATACAGCCTTACTGGGGCACCTGGGGGACTCAGTCCATTGGGTTACGCGTCTGACTCCTGATTTCGGCTCAGGTCATGATCCCAGGGTCATGGGATCCATTCCCATGTTGGGCTCTGTGCTGAGCATGAAGCCTGCTTGAGATTCTCTCTCTCTCTCTGCCTTTTTCCCCCCGCCCCCAACTCTCTTACTAAAATATAAAATAAAATAAAATTAGAATATGGCCTTCCTTCCCCTGTGGCATCAGAAACTTTGACCCAGAGGGTGGCGTGTGTGTGTGTGTGTGTGTGTGTGTGTGTGTGTGTGTGTTCGTGTTCTGGGCTGGGCTGGGGAGGGGGCCCTAAGTAGGAAGGCTGAGGTAAGAGCATACTTTTTTGTATTACTTCAATTTAATTCCATGGGGAATTCAATTCCATGATGATCCCAAACTTGAAACTATAGATTTGCTGCAGGAATAGTCATTCTACTGCCCACACACCCAGAGAGTTTGATTTTTGGAGTCTCTTGATAAGAGATGTGTTTTAGCAAATGAGATTTTTATTTGCTTCCGTGAAAAAAACAAAACAAGACCAAACAAAGCTAATTCTGAGAGGTTGAAAGATCGCTTCCTTCAAAAGTGATAGGCGTTCATTCTGTGACTCACCACTTTGGTTCTCTGAATGGACCCTGATGACAAGCCCCCGGACCACTCCCCTAAAATCAGCTTCATTCAAAGCCCTCACCCCAGAGGCTATTCTGGGGCTCTGAGAAGCACGGCAGCCACGGGTACGTTAGTCGGACTGGCTCACAGCTGCCTTTCCTCGGGAGGAAATGAGATTTGACAGCATCAATTCATCTGCAGTCAGATGCCGCATGCACCGGTTTTGAAATCATTCCTGAATTCGACTTCACTTTTTCTTAGGGAACTTGCACAAGAACAGAGGAGCCGTTCCACACCAGCTCAAGGACTGCGGCTGTAACAGCCTGTGCTTCTGAAGCTGGACCGAGAGTGAAGGAGTGTGCACTGACCCCGGGTTTGAGCGTCTACCCCCAACCCCAGGCCTGCACTGACCTCGCTGGGAGCCTCAGTGGAGACGGATGCTAACCATGCAGTTCCGATGGTGGTCCCCGCTGTGCCTGACGACAAGCAGGTTACGGTCCGTGCTGTACATGCTCTGAGGGTGCCCAGCACTGGCATCCAGGCACCCATGTTCAGCCTCTACCCCCGTTCCTGATGCTGCTTTGGGTTTAGCTCTTTTTAAACGATGCCACAGGAAAAGAGTAGGCACCCACATCAGTCATGTCTTAGTTTAGGGACGATTGTTCTTTTTCCCGCTTTAGTTACGCGCCGCGTCCTGTGAAATGGCTCATCGTACCTGCTGCCCGCGAGGTCAGTCAACGAGACGGGGTCCGAGGGAAGCAGTGGATGTCACGGATATTACGTCCAGTAACACGACCGCAGCGCCCCAGGTGCCCATCGAAGGAAGAAGCCCACGTAGCGAGAAGGAAACGTGAAACCCGGCCCAACGTCCTGGAGGCCCCGTGGCCACGTCTCCTTCTCACAAGCAGTCTTAACCTGCGCCACTTAGTCCCCGGGCGCGTCTGCGGCGGCAAGGCGCGTGTCGGGGGCTGTGAGCGACGGCGTGTCATGTGCAGCCCTGGAGAAGGTCCAGGGGGGCCGCAGGCCACCCTCGGCTCAGCCCCCGCTTGGAAGGGGCTCCAGAGGGAGACGAAGTAACGGCAAGGCACAGGGAAGTCCTCTGGGCCAGGCGCAGGCTGGCCCCTCAGGAAACCGCAGGAAGCGGCTGGGGTCTCCTGGTCAGGCACCTGGCCACCACGGAGGCTCAAAGGCTTGGGTGGACTGGTCCTCGGAGGCCACAGCCTGACACGGGGGCCCTGAGCGCACGGGCTCCATCCACCCCCCCCCCAGGGCGCACAGGCTCCCTCCCCGCCTCCCCCTGAGAACAGGTGACTCTGTGCCGCATGGTGCCGAGGAAGCTGGACGCTGGGTGAGGGGACCCGCTCGGCCCGCCCGCCCCCTCCCCGTGCACCTGTAACCCCCTCCACGCTCCGGCCCCCCCCCCACCCCGCCACAGGGAAAGTCCGACCTGTCCTCACCCCGGGAATTCTGGGATTAGGGAGCGTCCTGAAAAGAGGGAGAAGAAATCGGAAACAGGAGGCTTCTTGCCACAACGACCCTCCAGCCAGTTCCTGGCAAACCTGCAAGTCAGCGCCTTCCCCGCGAAGGGCTCAGGGCTCGGAGAGGCGACCGAGCGTTGCCTTACTTTGCAGACAAAGTAAGTGGTTCTGTGTGTGTCAGTCCCGCGTACAACCTAACCACGACGCTGGGAAATGGGAAATCCCAGGGAAATGGAGAAGAGCGGACCTCGGTTGAGCAGGACGCGACCCCCGGGCTGTGTGGTTACCTCCAGGATGGCCGCGGACATGCCCTCGGACACCGAGCTGTTCACCACCGCGAAGCAGTTCTTGAGCGCCGCGTGCAGGTCCCCCTGGGGCATCTCTCCCACCAGCCGCACCCCCGCGGTCCTGAAAGAGGAGTGGGGGTGTGTCCCTGCGAGTCGTGGGGGGGCAGGGAGGGGGGCAGGCGACAGCTTCGGGGCAAGTCTCCCGATGCTGAGCTGGGCGTCCGGACAGCACAGCGGGTTCCGCACGCGTCCCCATGAGGGTGTCTCCCACCCCCCCTCCAGCCAGCCGCCCTCGCTGTGAACCTCACCTCCCAGATGCTGGAGGTCAGAGACACGGTTCTGGCTACTTTTTCTAATCACGAAGCCTTTTTCTTCAAAAGATTTTAAAAAATACTAACAGGGACGATCACAGCCATAGAATAAACACATACTAAACTAAGAACAGGACAGCGCCGTGTTCCCGCTGCCCAGAGCCGGCGTGTTCTGTCACAGAAGGTTCCTCTTCTCGTTTTCATCCAGCAACACCAATCCCCGTCTGTCCAACCCCCCACCCCACCACTCACATAACTGCAGGCAGTGTTACCTACGAGCCACGTAAGGGCATCCGCTCACCTATGGGGATGAAATCGGAATTTCCCCCTCGCTGATGAGGGGTCCGTGACCTACGGGCAGTCCCGGGGGGTCGTGAGGAAATCGCCTAGAAGGGGACCGACCCAAATGGGGGCGACCCTCCTGGCCCCTGCCCATTTCCGTGCCCCCGCCGAAAAGGGCTCCGCGGCCACCTGCCACCCTCAGGTTGAGGACAGCGGGACAGAGAAAGACAGGACCCACGTCGCTGGAGTCACGCCTCATCCCGTTGTTTCGTGTGTGAGCAGCGGCAGCAGCCTGTGTCCTGGGGTCCCTGCTGCCCCGGGTTCGACCCAGCTCTGGACAGTTTGGGTCTTTCCACTTCTTGCCATCGTGCTCAGTGACAGTTATGGGTTTGTCATCAGCGTCTCCCTGAGCGAGCGCAGCTGGGCGTCACCACCGCCGAGGGGATTGCTCACGCTACCAGCGCGGTGTCCCTGCTGTCGAGTGGGGGAAGGGGGGCCCCTCGGGTCTCCTGGCGTCATCAGGACATTGCAGGGGGTGGCGCGCGAAGGGCAGGAAGGGAGCCTGGGTGCCGTGAGTGGTGGGGGGGAGGTAACGGCCACCAGGTTTCCTCTCCTGCGAAATACTCATTCACCTCCCACACTTACCTCTTTACTTTGGCTTGCACTTCCCTCGTAAACACTGGGTCCACCTGAGAAGACACAAAGATAGATTTAGGAAAAGCCTCGATCTTGAGAGAATTGCATATCACAACAACAGAGTCAGATTCAACAACTCAGGAAGGAAAAAACCACACCAAACAGGAACTAACCGCCCTGGTTCCGCTCGAACGAATAGTGACGAGGGACAGAGCCGCACTGGGGGCGAAGTTCAGGGAAAGCACGTGACCTCCCGTCTGCCGGAGACAAAGCCCGGAGGAGACCGGGGGCAGCAGGCCGGGCCTCCAGCTTACTCAAGGGGTCAGAGCAGAACTAAGACAAAGGGTCCGACAGAATTGACACTTTATTTTTAAAAAATATTGTTTTCAGTTTATCTACTTATTTCGAGAGAGAGAGTGAGAGAGAGGATCCCAAGCAGGCCCCACACCGTCAGCACCAGAGCCTGATGCAGTTGCCTCGATTTCATGCCAGGAGATCACGACTTGAGCTGAAATCAAGACAGTTGACAAAAGTCAGATGCATAACAGACTGAGCCACGCAGGCGCCCCAAAGTTTTATTTTTGACAGAGAGTCTTCTGAGAAACACGATGTTAAAGCCAAGGGCATGTCCATCATCCTATGTGCAGATACACAAATGGGTCTGTCTGCACAATGGAACAGAACTCAGTCACACGAAGGGGAGAATCACGGACTCCTGTCACACCATGCATGGCCTTTAAACAAGACATCCAGGGAAGGCGGCTGGTCACAAAGGGCCTCATACTATGTGACCCCATTTACATGGAACGTCCAGAAGGGCAAATCCAAAGAGAAAGAAAGCAGGTAAGTGGCTGCCAAGGACTCGTGGGGAGCAGGGGCGGAGACACGGGGTGAGTGCAGAGACGGCAGAGACCGGCTGCTAATAAGCACGGGCTGTCTTCCGGGGTGATGAAAGTGTTCCACAATTAGGCAAGGGGGATGGCTGCAAAACTACGTGAATATAACTAAAAACCACTGGACTGCATACTTTAAAGTGGTGATTCTGATGGCCTCTGAGTTACATCTCAAAAAAAGCGGGGGGAACAAGTAAAACTCTGGTTGGTCACAACCTCATGTCCTGGAGCCTGGACACGCCCCCGTTTCCCCCTGGGGGGCGCTCTGTCGTCTGGGAAGGGCCGCGTGTGCTGTGTGGCTTGCAGCCCTGCTGAGGGGCGGGGGGAAGAGTCGGAGCAGCGCCTCGGGGGGGTGGGGACCGACGGGGTCAGTGCGGCGCCCCTGACTGTTGGGAGCCGCAGAAGAAAGAGCCACATGTCGTAGAAAAGAGCTGCGGATGGCACCACCGTAAACACCACCTCACTTCTCAGTGCCCAGGACCGACAGGTGCAGAGCAAGGTGCCCGTGCGCCTGCGGCCATCACTGTGTGCACACCGCGTCGCCCTGCCCGGGCCTCGGAGTCCAGGCTGCAACACTGTGGGCGCACGTGACCCCTTCTCGGGCGAGCTTACTCTCTGAGGGACCAGGAGGACATGAGGGGATGCCCAGGGTGGGGCCACGTGTGTACTCACCACGTCTGACTCTCCCGACCGCAACACAACCAGCAGACCACGGCTGGCCCTTGCCCTTCCTCCCCTGGCGTCATCCACACTGAACACGCTTTTAAAATGACAAATAGTTTGGGGCGCCTGGGTGGCTCAGTCGGTTAAGCGTCCGACCTCAATTCAGGTCATGATCTCACGGTTCGTGGGTTCGAGCCCCGCGTCGGGCTCTGTGCTGAGAGCTCGGAGCCTGGAGCCTGCTTTGGATTCTGTGTCTCCCTCTTTCTCTGCTCCTCCCTCTCCAACTCAAAAATAAATGAACATAAATAACAAATATTCTTAAGTTTCCTCCAACGTGACATGAAATTCTGAGCACATCATCAAAGATGCAGACGGATGAGGGCATAAACACATTTCACCGACACCGTGTCTGCCGGCTCACCTGTCACCTCCCATGAGCTACCAGTGAGCACAGACTGGATTTCTAGTCTCCTCCACGCTTTACCAGTAGGTGTTAGGAATTAACAAAACAAGCCAGTTTAACAAATACGACAGTATCCCCCATACTTTATCATACAAATGGAAAAAAAAATGGGGTGCTTTCCAGAAACAACTTCTTTTCAATTTCTTTTGGCTAGAAAACACTGTGTGTGTGTGCGCACGCGCATATGTGTGTATGTGTGTGTACGTATGCGTGCATGTGTGTGTGTTGGAACCCAAATCCTTCAAACCACTGGCATGACTTGAGATGAATCCCAAGAAGCTAACACAGCAAATGTGGATGCATGAGGAACACTGAAACTATTCCCAGAAAAAGAAAGTTTTTAGAGTTTAACGTATTTTCATCGCGAACTTACAGGAACAGCACAGAGGACAGATGCACTTGAGTGAAGGACACCTCAGTGAGAAAAGAGCACAAACGGGTGGAATCCACCTCGCGAGTGCAATCCGGCAACACCATTTGGTTGCCATCCAGATAATGTGCTGATTCTAAGAAAACCCGGATACTGGCGTGATCCAGGAAAACTTAACAGGCTTGTGTATAATTGTTATAAGATTCAGTGGCTGAACTTTCTCACTGGGGCACTTCAACCTGCCTTATTTAAATCTCCACTTTTAGGTGAAAAATTTGCACACAAACGAAAAAGGAAAAGTTGCCAATACCGGATTTCCACCCCTGGTTTTCCACTCACAATCACATACTTGGGTATCTCATACTCAGGACCACCGATAGCAAGAAGGGAGCTTTTGCTTTGAGAACGCACAGTTTTCCGTCTTAGAGGATTCTCAAGCGTGTCCTCTGTGTGTGCAGCGTGCTAGCCGTATGTCACTTGACAAAGTGGGGATGACACACAGGCCGGTGTCGTCCCCAAGGACAACCAGACAGGCCTCGCTGCCTCTTGCAAGTACCAACATCGACGCCTTGGAAGCTCAGCACGTTTGGAATTCCCGAGCAATATTTCTGTGGGATGTTGGGAAGGGAAGTCCGTGCATCACTTCCGGTCAGGACCGCTGTCCCTGAGCGCCCCGTGCGGGCCGGCCTGGAAGGGCGGAGTTTCTTCAGCCCCCAGCAGAGAGCACACGCTTGCCGGTGCCAGTCATTCGCTGGGCCCTCACCACCGGTCGACTGGTCAACCCGTAGGCCGTGGGCTCTGCCAGGACCATGGTCTGCAGGCCCCCTCACCCCCTCCTCCCTCGGCCGAGCGCGGCCAGCTATCAGCAGTGCTGGCGTTAGAGATGGATGTGTGGAGGCTGCAAACACTCCTAGAAAGGTCTTTAAAGAACAAAAACTCACACTTAGGGACGACTTGCTGTTTCCTGCTGTAAAGAGTCAATATACATGCGCCGTGTACTCTGGGCCTGACCCAGGCTCAGCTCTACACGTGCACCACCTTACTCTTGCCACTGCCCTGTGCCCCCTTCTACACAGTAGGGCAGCGGCGCTCATAGTGCTTCTGCGATCTCACCAGCACCTCACAGCTGGCAAGGCGCTGGGCCAGGAGACTGAATTCTCAAAAACGCCCTCCACCGCCTCTCGGGTAGCTACTCAGGGATTTTACCAAGTGGTTCATAAAAAGCCAACGTGGATCACCTATTTATTTCCCCACCATATTCCATCTGTAGCCTTCTATGTACGCCCCCTTCCCCCCAACACACACACCCGGATTATTGCCATTCTCGCTAGCGGGAAAGCCACCCGTCCATCCCTAAAGCCTGTTCATCCTCAAGGCACAGGCTCAAGCCACTTCCCTGGGAGAACTTCCCCGATCACCTCACCCAGAAGCGGTACCGCTTCCCAAAGTCCCTTCCACATGCCAGCGAACGCAAGCCTGCGAGGTCTGTGCCGTGTCCGTCTCGTCCGCATACGCATGTCCATTCCCTCCGAGGCCAGGCGCGGGGTCTGGCATACAGCTCCCTGCTTACTATTTACTAAATGCATGGTTTCCCTACCCTTTCTGTTCCTCACTTCTGATTCTTTCCATTGAAATGATTTTAAATTATTGAATTGCATTATAACCCTAACGTCTTATCATGAGAAAGCAAATAGCCTAATGAAAGCCTTCTTTTGGCTTTACATACCGATTTTCAAATTCAGATTTTACTTATGATAGTTTTTAGTTAGAGATCCCTCGTTTCTAATTTTATTGGCCTGCTTCTGCTCTCATGATTAACTATGTAGGGAAAAGTAATTCATCGAGGGGAATTTTGTAAGTCTGCTGAAATACCTAGTGCGTTAACTAAAATTTAGCTGAAGTATAAACAGTGGCTTTCAAGTTGGAAATACACACTGGATGAAAGTTTTCTGGATTTACCTTCCGCATCAGTTCATTTTCAAATCTCCTAGTGAAGCCAAGTGGAACAAAATGCAAGATAAAGAAACAAAGAAGGGTAGATATTTTTTTTTTAGGTAATGAAAGCACATGTTATGAAATTTTAAAAAGCAAAAGCATTTCAGGCAGCAAAGAAAATTCTCATTTCCTCCATCTCCACTTATTTACTTCTAAGCAAAATATATTGTTTCAACTCCCAGGCTTAAGGAAAATCATCTTTGATATAAGAAGTTACTGTGGGAAGTCATTAAACCGCGGCGCGCAGGCCCAGTGTCCATGCCACACTCCTTATCAAAGAGTCTGGGAAGTGTACCCACTCGAGTCTGCCACGCGCTTTGCAAAAAAAAAGATGGTTGAACTGAGAGATCAAGGAAGCTTTACTAGAAAACCAAAGCCAGACCCAAACCGCCTGCTGCTACGGCAGGGTCCTCGAGTGCCCAGGCCCAAAGGAGACACTGGCACGGGAAGGTCTTTCTCCACGCGGTGTCCTATGATGCTGCCTGTGAGCCAGGCACCGTGCCAGCCTCGGCCGTCTGGTCCCCACAGCAGACGGTGAGGCAGGCGGCACTTTCTTGGTTGTGCCTACCTTACAGAGGGGGACACTGAGGCACAGAGAGGTGGAGCGTACCTGGCTGACTCCGGAGTCTGAATGCAGCCGCTGTGCTACGTGGCCATGCAAACCTTCCC